TGAAAAACACGCGATCCGATTTTGAGAACCCAACAAACTCTAGCCGTCTGTGCAGCATTCACTACTTCACTGCAGATTCTTTTGAGGAACAGTCGGTTCTGGTGAAATCGATGGGTTTAAAGATGAAAGCCCTTCCTAAAATACAATGATGTTCCCTTCATTTTTATATTAATCTGTCTGTAAAAAAGAAACAAAGGCTCGAGGACGAAAATAAACTCTCATATTCACAAGTCCGTGACATTAGCGAGGGATTATCAAAACCAAATCGACAACAACTACGTAGAGCATACAGAAAACGGGAAGCTGCAAGGGTATGTAGTGCCTGTAAAAGAAATATAAACCTGTATTCATTGAATGAAAAATGTAGCAAAAAGCTCTTTCAAACTTATAACCCAACTCATTTACCCGGTGCGTGTTCCAGATCCTCGATGCAAATACAGAAAATGAACAGCTTTCTCTTTCCAAAGAGAGTACCGAAGAATTCCCCACTCCAGAAACTATGAGGAATCTGGGCACGAACTTGACTCGTAGGGTATTTGTGGGATCGTTTGGGTGGACGCGCGAAACTTCAAAATGGCGACAGAGAAAGCCAGTTTTTCCAAAAAAGTTTTTATTATCGAAGAAGACATTCCCGGGGCGAAGCTTCCTCGGGAAAACGTTGGACAGTGTACAAATTTCCACTGTGTATTACCAGTTTAAGCGGTAGAGATATATTGCACGTAAATGGCGAAGCCATAGTGCTTGTCGAAAGTGCGGTAGCACTAGAGGTCACATTACCATCACTCGCCATATTGGACTATATTTTGATGGCGTCAACGTGTTAAACTGCTAAATCCGTCAATGAAAAGTGGCTTGTCTTACCAAACGGGTTCCGGTCGGCCACTCCTGACACCGTATAAAGAATTGGGTGACGTTCTCAGACTTCAACTCGTTTAATTAGAACATTGTGAACTCACAAACAACTTACAAGCGGCCATGACGAGGAAAACCAGCGAGAGTCAAAACAAGTTGGCGCGCATGTGTAAATACTGAAATCTGATTGGACGCTAAGACAATGCAATATCGTCACAGCCCTTAGTAACTACTCAACTTTGTACACATACTTATCAAGGAAGCACGATTTTTAATAGATGGCGGAGCAACTACCGTTTATACTTTTGGGAAGCGTATTTTCTTACGTCTATTTGAATTGGAGTACGTAAATCAGCCGTAATACCGAAGAAGCGATGTTCTAAGGGGATTCCCGTCATGCAATGGTTCATGGAAGTGAACAACAGAAAGTTCTACAAGACTGCTGTATAAAAATATATCTTATTAGACGTTTTGTTGAGTAGTAAGTATCATTGAACATTCTTACAAGTTGTGCCGTATTTTGACGAGCCCGTAGAGCGATTAAAAATACAAATAACGAGTAAAAACACTCAGCAATACTACACAACAAAACGTCTAATAAGATATTTCAGTGCGGGCGAATTTCGGGGATATTTATTTACGAGGAGTGCGTGACAGAAGTATGTGAAGAGGAACGGAAGATTGAAGCGTTGTGTTGCTTTTTCTATTTTCTTCATTAAATGAAGAAATTTTCTGGTCGTCAAGCTGTTTTTCTTTGTTCGATTCATCTAATAAACTTGGATCTATATTTGCCAGCCATTCTGACTCTTCGTCGTCGGAAATATGATTCAAATTGTCCGCCACTTTTTTTTTT